CCTTATACCTAATCTAAATCTGCCCTCTTGCAGTTTAAAATCATTACCCCTCATCCCATCCCTACACCCCCTGATCCAGAGTCCCTCCCCCCTTTCCTGCAGCCCCTTTCAGCCCTGGGAGGCCGCTCTAAGGTCTCCCCAGAGCCTTCTCTTCTCCAGCTGAACCCCCCAACTCTCCCAGCCTGTCCTCACAGGGGGTGCTCCAGCCCCCCGAGCATCTTCGTGGCCTCCTCTGGCCCTGCTGGAGCAGGTCCGTGTCCTTCTGCTTGTTGGTGCCCCAGAGCTGGACCCAGCACTGCAGGGGGGTCTCACGAGAGCGGAGCAGAGGGGGAGAATCCCCCCCTCGCCCTACTGCCCACCCTGCTCTGGGTGCAGCCCAGCACACCATTGGCTTTCTGGGCTGCGAGTGCACATTGCTGGTTCATGTTGAGCTCCTCGTCAACCAACACCCCCAAGCCCTTCTCCACAGGGCTGCTCTCAATCCATTCCTCACCTAGCCTGGATTTGTGCTTGCAATTGCCCCAACTCACATGCAGAACCTTGCACTTGGCCTTGTTGAGCTTCAGTTCAGTTCTAACACTCAAAAAAATCCTAAATTTTTCTAAAATTTCTAAAAGACCTCGACAGTTTAGTCTGATTTGATGACACAGCACACTTTGCAGCGAAGTTGCTTTTAAATTAAAAAACTACATGTGGACACTTGCTGAATGCAGAATAACTAGTGTGCTTAGTAGTTATTCTTAGTAGTTAGTAGCTATTGTGTTTAGTGGGCAGTCCTCCCTTGATCATTCCATGTGTGTGTCTTCCCCACAGCATACATCCTCCAAAGCTCTGGCTCACAGAACGTGACACATGGTGGATGCTGGGACCGCTACCAGCAGCCAGGCAGAAATTCTAAGGGGAAGAATTTCTTTAGTGAGCAGTATTTCCCATATTCCAACACAAACTTTTCTGATTAGCCCCCACCTTCTTCGGCAGAGGCAGGAACATCCCTTTGCCAACCAGTGTTTAGTTTAACATTCCTCTGCTGTATTTAGTGTCCAAACCCAGTACTTGTAAATGGGTTTTCCTCCTAAATTACCAAATTTCATAGCCGTTGGTGAGACACACCATCCCCTGCCTCATCATACCAGAGCTGCTATCGCCTTCTTCCTTATTGCCCAATCAACGTTTCTCTCTAATCACCCTCTTCCTTATTGTCTGATCTCTGTTTCTTTCTAAAGATCTCCTTTACTAGCAAATATGTGAATAGCTTGTTTTAACATGTTTTACATGACAGATATTTAAGGAACCAGCACTATACAAACAACATTAGAAAATATACAACAGCTCTCAGTTAACAATGAACATTAATTAAATAAGTGCATGGCATTCTCTTTTATTGTTTTTTTTTTTTAATCTACACCATCAGTACTGTTAACCCCACCTACTAAATCTACAGGCACACACCTAGCACTGGTAGAAGACAAAAACGAGCTAGAAAACACCTTATAATCTCCGAAAAAAAGAAGATGGGGATGGTATCACAGATTCATAAAGAAAAGCAGTATTTCATCCTTGTAACTGTGGAATCTGGTTTTGTAATAATAATTGTTTGTGCTGCTGACTTCCTTCAACACCTGTGACCCTGCTTGTGACAGCCACATTGCCTGCTGGAAACTTGGCAAAAGACAAGAGAAGAGATATTAGGGAACCAATGCTACGTCCTGAGAGAGGCCATAAAGTCCAAAGGTTGATCAGAATTGCCACGAACAGTCCAATAAACTAAGGAAGTATGTGGCTCTGAAGAGACAAACTGCTGTGCCCAAGCACAGTATGTTCAAACTCCACAAGCTGCACCCCAACACCTTGCATGATCAGAAGAACACACTATCCAGGGGATTTTCCCAAGCAGCCCCCTTGAAAAAGAATTATTTTAAGCCCCTTTCTGAAAGGAGCATATGACCACTCGGTGCACTGCACACGCCAGAATTTCACAGATCTTAAATTTGAAAAACACTCCTCTTTATTTTTTCAAATTAAGCTAGGATGATTTGTTGATTTAATAAAAAGAAAAAAAAAACCCATGTACAACCTCTTCTGAATTAGCATATTCAAGCTTTTCCAAAATCTGGCTCCAGTAAAGAACTTGTCCTTAAAATTCTATCAGACTGTAACTAAGCTTGTAACTTGGCATGTGAAATAAATAAGCCAATAATCAGATCCTTCAGAAATTTCCAATTAAACCTGTAAAAATATCTAATAAAACGTTGAGCATTTGAAGAGATTTTATTCAGGAGAGTACAGCAGCTTGTTTCATGTTAGGAAGAGCATGGGGCATTAATAACTAAGGGTTTTTTTCTCCTCTTTCCTGTCCACCACTCAGTTACACTAGCACAACTTTTTGTGAAGCCACACTGTAAATCTGAGCAGAAAACTCTCTTCCAGCTTTCTGAAGGAATCAAACCAAGAACACAGCATGGCCCCCACAAAGAACTGAGCAAGCACAAGCAAAGAGGCAGCGCGGGAATGGCAGCCAGGGGAGGGAGGAAAAAGGACATGAATTGCTTTGAGCTCATATTGCTGCTGAGTACTTTCTATTATAAAACCATAACCTAATATGCTTTCAAGACTACAGCTCTGATCTGCTTCACACCATGCACCTCCTTCCCTCCACGGGACCCTACAGGGATCTACACCATCGCAGAAATGTGCCTGCACGGAGAGGCTTGCAGGCTCAGACACTGCACTCTATTATACTTTTCATTATTCACTGCTTATTCACTAAACGAGAGGATAACCCCAGCAGTGCTTGTAAACACAACGGCTTCCTTGAGAAGCAACAGCAAAAATCCATAAGTACGGCTCTCCTTGTAAGTAAAACGCCTGACTTGGGAGGGCTGTCCTCCCTGGGGAGCTCAGCTGTGGGAAGCGGGAGCAAGGAACTGCCTTTTTAGGACTGTGGCTGAGCAGAGCGAGGAAGCGCTGGGGCAGGACCAGGGCTCCCGCAGCAGCTCGCTGGCCTTTTAAGGAGAAAGGCAGGTATTTCCCCAGCCCCGCAACCGGGAGCTGCACAGCCCCTGAACCAAGGTAAGGCGAGGCAGGGCACCCCAGCGAGGCCTGACCCGCCACCACCACCACCCAGGGGACAGTGGGCCACAGCCACACTCCTGCTCCGAGCACACCTACAGCCCTGGTGTCTCCAGGCTCCGAGAATTTCAAATAGGCCTTATCAGGAAGCAGAGAAGCTTAATTAATTGAAAGATCATTTTCAGATCTGTAAAGCCAGATGGTTTGTGGGTGAACCGTACTTGATTTTAATGTGACATTTTAAGGTATTCAAGGCAACATTTTGGAGCGCGAGTCTCTAATGTCAGACATCTTTTTAGCTACCTACATAAGAGGGCAGGTTTTCAGAGATGACGAGCAACTGGATTTTCTGAAGACTTTTAACAGAAGGGGCAGGACACTCGAAGCCTCAGACACTCTGCAATTTTTTTTTAAGCAAGCTTTAGAAACATACATAATTAAGACTCCTCCTGGGATGCTTAAAAATTAAGGCTGCTTAACAGGAAAGCAAGAAGATTTTAGTTTCATTCCGTTTAAGTTACATTTCTTTCTTACCTGTTTTATTTTTCTAGGGAGCAAAAAAACCTAAACCACTTCAGGCCAAATCCATCTTTATAGGATATGTGTGTAAGCACCCACTGACCATGAACTGTCCCATATTGTTGTTCTTTTTACTTTCCTGACTCTAGTTTTTAGAAGTAAAAAGAGAAGGCTGTGAGTAAAATAAGAAAAAAGTACTATTTTTCACCAACAATATCCATTTTTAAATTCAATTTTTAAATCTTTCTCAGAAAATAGCAACAAAAATTAAGTGTCCTTGAATACTTTTCTTCGGAAAAAAAAAAAAGTAACTTTCCTTTAGATATGGCTAAAAAAAATAATTGATAGAGTAACATTAAAATGAGACATTACCCATCCAGGAATAATACAGCATCCCAGTTCTGAATATGAAATGCCATATTGAAATTCAAAGAATTACCCACACACTTTGCCATCTTAGTTTCTTGAGGTTAAACTTTGATAACAGCCCCTTGAGAAGTTGAATAGTATAGGATTAACTGAAAACAGCAACTTTTAACAATACAAGAATGGCTCAACAGTTTTGATCTGCACTACTTTTTAAGTCTGCAGACAAGTGTCTGCTCTGCATCATAAACTACTGCCATCATTAGTGCCTTCAGGTAATAATCACAGCAGGAAGACCAAAACTTTGATTAATCTTGCAACATCCCACTTGCAACATATTGGCAAGAAAACATGGGGGAAGTACTAATTACACATGGATAATCACAGGGCATCATTTCTAGGATTCCTTATGAGAAGCCCATCAGGGGAAATAAGGCCACAGACAGTATGAAAAATTACATTAAACAACTGAAAAATATCTAGATATGTGACAAACTTGCTCAGTATGAGCTCAGACGTTGCATAGGACTTTCTCCAATTGTTGATTGGGCTGGAATTACATTTCTATAGCTCCAAAGGAGAAGGAGGGTAAGATTACTTTCATAAAAGGAATAAAAGTTTTGACACCAGGTTTCATATTGTAAATTTCTCATTTAAAATAACGTGCTTGCCAAAGCAGTTCAGCTGCCAGAAAGGGAGAAAGGCAGGCAAACTATTCCCTTAAAAGCAATGACTGTGCTACGCTGCTCAGGTACACGAGGCATCGCTCCAGAACCAGGGAACGTTGGCTCATTAGGAGCAATTAAAAAAACTCTGAGGGGATTTTAAAAACAACAACTTCCAAAAACAAAACATGCATATATACCACATGCATTTGTTTATGCAGCTGTAATGAGTGATGAAATCCATTTATGAGCTGAAGTCACAAGATTCTAAGCAGGTCTTTGTTTAATCTCAGTAAGTCATGACATTTCCCTTCTACTTAGAATAATGTGATTTGGATCAACATTTTCAAACTTATGCACCTGGTTTTTAACAGTGCTTACCAATTGCACTTCTCATCTGCTTCACTGGAGACTCAACGGTCTACTTCTGAGCCACTGCTTTGATAAAGCATCCTGAAGACAGATATAGAAACATTGTTTTAGCTTAACATACTCCTGTAATTCTGGAATTCAGCATATATGCTGCAATTCTTACTGAAACTGAGACTGTGCAACCTGTAAAGAGCGTAAATAAAAATCAATGAGACCATTAGTGGAATGAATACTTACAGCATCAGCCCTTCTATAACCACAAAGACTGTCCAGATGGATGCCCTTAAAAGACTTAAGAAGGTCTGCTATGGACAATGGCTTTTGTTCCAGCATGTTGCTGTGACTTGGAAGAATAAAATGAAGATAAATGCAGCTGTTTGCTGCTTACAATAATGCAGCATTAATGCCCTGAGTAACAAAGGTAGGACAGAGTATGCAGGGAAAAAAAAAAAAGATTCAGCACAAGTAACTATTAAATTACACATTTTGTGTATTTATAAACTGTGCTAGGCTTTAGATGTATTATTATATAGCTTTAACAGTATATGAATCAGTAATCCTGCATATAAATCAAGAACACATCTTTAGCTTTGATATTATGAGAAAAAAAGGGGGAGGAAAGGGTATTTTCTACTTCTGCTCTTGCCATTACACCTCTATTAGCTTTGCAAATACATCCAATGTTTTGTGAGGATCAGATCAAAACTAAATGACTCTAGGTCCACTGTTAATATAAATAGAGTGACGTTTTAAATTTCTTTTAAGCAGGGAAAAAAGATTAGATTCCTGATCTGAACAAAAAGTCCATCTACCTAAGGCAGAGGAGCAGGATATTCCCAGACATAGAAAAAATTCTCCTAGCCTTTAAGGCCTGAAGGAAAGTGTTGCTGTCTGCACCCATTCGCCATTCTGTTTCTCATGTCTGGCTCATTCATCTGCTGCTCTCCAGAGTCCAAACTGAACCTGAAGAACGGGTGGATTTTTACAGCATGTCACCAAATCAAGATGGCAGAAGGATAGAAGGAAAACACAAGGATCTTTTGCTTAGAATGTTTTCTCCCAAGTAATCTCTTATTTATAGGCAAAAGCTTAAAGTACAAAACAATTTCTTCATCAGCTTAGATGCAAATTTTGGAAGGCTCTAAAAAGGCCAAAGGCAAATGGGCATAATCAGCAAAGTCAGTGGATCACCTAACTGGCACAGAGTATGTTCCTATGCCTTGCATATTTTACTATTATTTTTGTTGATGTATGACTATAATATGCACTACTGCCAGTGTCTTTCCCCATGTGAAAAAAAGTCCTAAAACGATCAATATGAGGCAGCCAGGGAAACACTGAAACTCCTGAGATGGAAATTGGCACTTTTACTGCCATTTTCAGATACACGTACCTATTGGATGTGGTTTTGTTACACACAAGTACTACGTGCACTTGGGAAGAGATGAGATTCTCAGTAGGACAGTATAACCACTTGGTTGCCTTCTTTTTTCTTAGGATGGCTCAAGTAAAAAAGTCACACAAGGTATACCAGCCATAATAAAGAAGAATCTGTAATATTCTTAGTGCCACATCAGTTTATAGAGGCTAAATATATTAATGGGAAAATAAACTCAGACGCAATCTTCCTACCTAAATTTTAAGTCTATAGGTATTATATTTTATATCCTCCCATTTCCAAAGACCTGTTCAGTTATTTTCCTTTAAGTTTTGGGGATCTACTATACTACTGGGCCAGAAAGAAAATGACTGTAACTACTGAAGTCAGAGTAACAACTGAAAAACACATATCAGTAGAAAACGTTATTTAATATGATAGTTCACATGAACTAAACCCAGCTGAAAAGCTCTGAAAAGGCACATTAAAGAAAATAACTGTGAGAGCGTTAAGTAAACAGTTCCCTTACTGGATTTGCTATAACCATCTAAAACATTTCTTCCCCTTTCCACATTAAAGGAGAGCCCTAAAACCACATTTTGCATATTTTATTAGTTCAAACCTTTTCTAACATGGTTCCCAGGGCAGGCCAAGTCTAACAAACTTTTTTAAATGAATCTAACATTGTTCTAAAATAACAGTATTAGAATCCAGTGGAGTGTGAACAATAGGACTATCAATAAATGTCTACTCTTATTCCCAGACCCAGAATGGAATGCTAAACAATTTTTAGCCCTTCAGATTCACTATTTATTGAACCTGAACTTGCACACCAGCTTGAATAATCGATGTTACCCATCTCATGCCTCTGACTGCTTTCATCGGAGAGAATAATTGCACATTTGGAGAAAGAAAAACATTTTTGTGACTGTTTTAAAAATCGTAGTTGAAAGTTTCCTGAAAGGTCAGAAAGGTAGGAGTTATCCTGCTAGAAACAGATTAGCAGGCAGAGGGTAGGCAAGGTGGTCAGGGGTGTATGGGAAGTATAATCTATCAGATTGATAGCACCACTATGTATATGGTACAATCATATCTTATCTTCCCAGCCCTGCAACCAAAATAAACCACATCGAAGTCTTGGAGTCTGATTCTGTTGTCTTTAAGCACACACCCCTTAGGGTGGCGACCCAGGACACACCACACATCTTTTACTTCATGTAAGACAAAATCAAAACAAATATAATCAGTATTTTTCCTTTTAGGACTCTCACTGAGACTCTTTGATGTGTTTTCCCTAATCGTTTTCTCTTTTTAATCATCACACTCAGGGGTTTCTCTGAGCTTATAATGGTCTAGTTTTTATGTAACCTTTTTATGTAAGCCTTCCCAAGCTCCCAACACAGCAACTGCTGTAACAGTACACAGCAACACTACACCAAAGAATACCTTGTCCAAATGAAACCAAAAGGGAAATTTAGATGAGTACATTCTGCTTAGGTTGGAATTTTGGCTCAGACACAACAGTTAACACTCCTGGTTTTGCAAAAAGAAGCTCTAATAGAGATACTGAAAATGAAAGTATCTCTTCTACTTCAAAGCTGAAAATCTGGCCACTTCTACAACATGTTTTTCTGCTCTGGGAAATTTTACTTATCTCTACTCATTCATGAAGGGGAAATCCTTGGCCCTACGAGTTAGATGTGGGTTTGCCATTCACCTGACTAGACTTGAGACTCCACGAGTATGATTTAGTACCCATGGTATAAAACTAGTTAAATTTCTAATTTCTATGTGACTGCTTGCCAATTTTTCTTTGTCTCAGGAGCAAGTATTCATATTTATATTTTATCTTGATTCTCTTTAGCAATATCCCTATTTACACAGAGAATCCTTAAACGGATTACCACATTCTTTTCAATGTTACCTAAGAGTGCACTGGTCTACTACAGTTCTAAAATTTTCCAGCTCCACTATTAATAAAATGCCTAAACTTCATATAGGCCCTACATAAAACTCACATAACTGGAACTCCTATAAAATGCCCTGTAAACACTTGCCCTATGTCTAAACTGCCTGTAGATTCATGAGGTTCTAGAGGCAATTTCCATTTATCAGCCAAGATTTACTGATACCGCTGATATTTCTGTTGTTCTCTGCTCTGCTCCGTCAAGACACTGCAATGGAGGAAGCAGGAGCTAAGACATGAACTGGAAACATTTCCTTCACATGGGAAGGTGTCCTGCTAAGAAACTGCTTACTGAACCTGACAGTGAGCGTATAAACAACATTAGAGGGAGTGCTCACACATGTACTCCCAATAAAGGGGAGGACAAGGCGGTGAAAGTCAGAGCTATTACAAGACAAATACAAATTAAAGACACTGTTTTTAATCTCCAGGATACTAAAATATTTGGTGAGAGCTCCCAATGTTTGGGGGAGGAGAGAGGGAGAAAAGGGGGTAGGGGGAGCAGTAAGTTCTACTGAGACTTTTCTTATGGTTTGTATCACCTTTTGTGGGAAAATCATTCTAGAAAAAAGCAACAGAGGATTTTGAAACTAACAGAAAAGCACTTGCTAAAAGATAGCTTGCTCTTTGTAGAACTTCCCATGAGGCCTGAAAAAGCACCCTGAGCACGTACTTTACCGGACAGCTTTGCATATGAAATACTGTTTGTTTCAAAAACAGTTGTATATTTTTACCAGGGGGGTTATTCCTGTCAATTGTCCCAATTACTGATCTATAAGAAGCAAAAAAAGGAGTCAGAACTACCACAAAGATACAAGCGTAACTATTAAAGTTCACGGGATTTTCAGCATTCACCCTCCTTATCCTGAAACTTTAACCCTGGAGTGAATGCTGCCATATATATTTCCTTTGTTTGGCTGTCTGGTGGGCCACCTGGAAAGCATCAGCACTCTAAGAAGAAAACTGCTATTGTTTATCCAGAATTTCCTTAAAATGAAACCTTGCTGTCCATTACCCTTTCCCAGAAAGGTATATTGTTCTATCACCACCCATATCAAGTGCAGAGACATGTTTACGGTACGTGCAGCAGCTCAGATAGGCTGGGCTGTTGCAATCCTGTTGCAATCCTGTGCAGAAAACAGAATGTTAACACTGGCATGCTGCTCCCACGCCCTCCCCTTTTCAGGCTTTACATTTAACTCAGTGACACCCTGCTAGGCACAAGGTTTATTTACACAACACAAAGTCTTGAGACCAGCCTTTGTTCGACTGCAACGTTGACAAGGCTTATGAAACACTACGGAGGATAGTAAAGGTGTATTAAGAATCAACTGAGGACCACGTATGAATGAAATGTTTTGAAACTCGCTTGATTGAGTTTCCAGCTGCAGCGCAATTCTCTTTTAGCCAGAAGCTGTCAGGACAAACCAGCAAAGCTGCTGGCTTTCACGGAGACCAGTGAATTGAGCTGTAACTGGTTCCATGAGGACTTTAATCCGGGATATGCTGGTGACACCCTGAAATGAAGCAAATCCCTCTCTCCCCCCACCATTCAGGTTTTTTGCTGGGATAGACTGAACGGAGTGTATTTCCCAACACACTTCACCTCATGGCTGTGTCAGCGCCAGGGAGGGGACAGCGTGGGAGCAGGAAGAGGGCAGGACTGCCTCTTTTGTCAGCAGTGCCGGCCGAAAGCACTTGGGGAACCAGCGACGTTGGAAACTGTGTTGATTTACATCTGCTAAAAAGCGCTCCTTCGGTTTCCTTAAAAATGATTGCTATATGTAGAGCATTTTAAAACTTGGCATGTGTGTGAAAAAAGGCAAGAAAGCTTAGTGCAGATTTCTTGCGTGGAAGTGTTTAAGGGAAGTCTGTAGGCTTCACCTTCCCAGGACTGGCAATACCCACTCCTGTGAGGCAGGAGTGGTTGTTGCACTTACCCTCTTCCCCAAGGGGTGTATAATGCAGAAGAGTTCCTGTGTCTCACGTGATCATCTGCTTGTCAAAGTTTTGGACTAAGTATCAAGTGTCTTTAAAAAAACTATCTGTGTGAATCTGGAGAAGCTGACATGTAGTACTTCCTCCTACAGAGCATTTTTGACATTAACTCCAAATCATTGTCAGAGCCACTCACAGCAGAGACTCTAAATGTAAAGAAAAAAACCCAGCAAAACCCCGCCAAAAAAGCAGGCCCATAGCAACTGGAAGATATTTGGTCAAAATGTCAGAGACTGACCAGGGAGTGAAAATTATATAAATCTAAGTGCCAGTATATGCTCTACACAGTCCTGGGTGAGATTCAAAATGCATTGCGAGGCTGATGAACCAATAAAAACATCAATGGTTGATATCCTAAAAGCAAATGGGGCCAGTAACAAGTATTTTATACCAATAAATTAATCCTAGATCTTCTTACAGATGAAATTCCATTCCTTTTCTGCACCTTTTTCCTTAATGCATTTTTAAAAATGAAAATAGTTCACACCACTCGTATGGCATTCATTCCCCACAGATCTGCATGCTTTACTAGAACTTCAGTCTCACTATGCCCATTTTACAGACAGGGAGACCAAGCAACAGAGATACAAAAAAGGATTAAGGGTCATTCAGCAGGGAGGCAAAACCAGGCAAGACTGCAGTTCTACCCCATTTGAGTGTATTCTGTTCTCCTGGTTTTTGACTGGTATACAGAAAATGTTAGTTTAATGAGAAGAGGTGAACAAATTTTTGCTTCACTTTGTAAATTCTCTTGGTTGTCTTGAAGGGATATATATTCCCCCTGCTAAAGGGTTAGGTGAATACTCAGACCAATAATACAACTGTGAAATATACCACTGTTCTTATTAATATTTATGTAACAATCTAGGACTGAAATTGGCTATCATTGAATTGACCTCAGATCTCTGACATAAATGCCTATTTGAAGCACCTGGCAATGGGCTGTAAGCATCCACACCCAGAACTGCTTTGTCTGGGCTTGCAGTTTTGTCAACCACACACCTTTTCCTATACTGACTGTAAGGAACGCAAACTGGAAAACATCAGCACAAAACATGCTTATATAGAACAAGGCTACGTTGTACCATTAGCTCTTACAACACGCGTGCTTAACCTCTCTCACATGACTTACCTGAGTCCACAGCCCATTCTTAAGTGAACAGAAGACTCTGCAAATATGTGCACAGTGCAGCTGGTACCCAGATCTCTAAATACCATACAGCCATTTTTGGAATGTCTCTCTATTTAAAAAAAAAAAAAAAATAAAAAAAAAATCTGAATTTCAATTAGCAGCCATCACAGCCCTCAGGCCTTTGCTTTATTATTCTCCTTTTATCCTAAAATTTCTCCTTGATCTCATTAACTTGTTTCTAATATATTCAAATGTTATGGCTTTTTATATGTTTCATATGTTCCCAACAGACTGTGTAAACAGGCCTGTGAGCTGACCAACGCCTCTGCCAAATGTGCTGGCGGCCGTTCCCGCAGTGACTCCCCTGGCACACACATGAGCGCTGCTCCTGAACCTCTCATGAAAAACCAAGATCCCAGGTAGGGATCAATACTAATTCTAAACTAAATTTTCCATCTCTGCTTCCTTATGAAACAAAGGAACATATAGACACTGCAGTGTTGGCAACTGCATATAGTTTTTATCAAAGAAAAGAGGAAAGAACAACAATTTTGAGGGGTTTGAGTGTCCTGGTTCTTCAACTGTGGATGTCCTAAGGGGCTGCTCTGGACAAGACTGGGACATTCCCACCCTGTGTGGGGACAGGGTTGCCCGGACCAGCGGGGAGCCGCCCCACAGATGCTGTGTGATACGTTAGCTGTGATCAGAGACCAGGTTGGTTACTATTAATCAGATGGGATTGAGGAAGAGTAGCTAGCAGTTTAGTAACATCTTCTCCAAAACTGAAGTCTTGAACTCTGCTTGTGTTTTCAGGTATCGTCCTACCCAGGCCATGCCCTTTCCTCCCTTCCCTTGGCTATTTGACAACCCTGACTGCTCCCACACCATGACTCCAACACAAATGACTGTCTCCCAGAGTGACTGTTTCCATTTGAATTACATGGGCAGGCGCTCTGTAAACTTCCCCACAGGCTCCGCCACTATAATCCCTGGGAAGGAGCAACCTGCAGGACCTACTTTCACTGTTCAATGCTTTCTCTGTTTATTGCTACTCCTGTCAGAAACATTGCCCAAATTCAGGCAGGTGTCCTTACATCTGTTAGCCACCAGCCATTGGTGACATTCAGCAACAGAAACTCCCTGTCTATGTCCAAGCCTGAACCCACAGCACAGAGAAGAAAAGCTTGTTCGCTCACTGGAAATCCCTAAGCTCTGTGGTGCTTTACGTGAGGCATTTCTGGTCTCACGCAGACTCGCTTCCTTTCCTTCTCCTGTTGCAAGCACTGCTTTATCCCAGGTTGCCAGGAGCCTACTGTTCCAACAGCTGCTAAGACAGAGTGAGATGTCAGCTTTGACAGGATGCCAGATTGTTTATTAATTAAAAATCCAAGCATTTTGTATCTGTTCTCAGACCCTAATCAAAACTGAGCTATTTTACCAAGGGCTCTAAATGGTTAAATCCAGTTATTCTGTGGCTTTCAGTCACAATTGGCAACCAGGAATCAATGCACTTTGTTGCCACTACTTACGTGAATACGTTTGTTGAAATATCAAAATGCCAGAAAGCTAACTCCAGTCCTCCACAGTGAAACCATGCCTTGGTAATAGCCGAACATACACATGCTTCCAGTAGGATCTCTGTCCCCAAACATGGTACATATCTTTCCAAAGGGGTTCATCTGCCTCCCCACCACTCAACCTTTGCATGCTTTTATTTGTACGGTAAATTTTTTCATGCTGCCAGCTCGCAATGCTGAGCGCAGCCGTCTGCTTCCCATATGCCACCCGTCCTCCAGTGCCTCCTCTACTGCTTACCTTCATTCTTTGGGCTCCCACTGTGGACCAACTCCTATTTTGCCAGCCTTCTTTGTGTGTAGAGGATTTTTCCAACTGTAAGCTCCACAGGACAGGAACTTTGCTCAACTCTCTATTTCTCAGAGCACCAGCTATGCTGTGGTATAGAAATAATGAACACAGAGATGTTAACGGTGTGACATTTAGATTTGTAACATCCCAAAAAGCATGGGGAGCAAGGCCTCGGGTTTCCTTTTAGACTCATCTTTAGAAAATGTAGTTAACATCTATTTGGTCAGGTCTTTGATCAAAAATTATAAAATACATATAGTCGTTTGAATTAAAAAAAAAAAAGTTCATTACTTATTTGAAAATAGATTTCTGAGCACTTGCAATGACCACTGAAATCCTCTATAAAGCTAGCCAGGAATGGGGAAAAGAAATAGTGAGAAATCTAGTACAACTAACTATTCGGTAAAGAGGAGATCATCCTATCCACTTTAGAAACAACCATATCAAATCTTTCATTCCTATGTTGCCACATATAAACATCCAGGGTTTGAATTGCTCAGGCAGCATTCTTAAGAAAATGGAAAATGTTTTTAGTGGTTCCTCCCTTACTTCGGCAGTCTTTCTCTGTGTTTACAGTCAGTGTTGCTGTCCTGCCCCAGAGGTAACCCAACAGGTCTTGCAAAGTCTCCTAACTTTGCCCCACCTCCATCATTCACAATCTTGTCTCTCTAACCTACTCATTTTCCTCCATTCCACAAACTATTAGTTTCAAAGAAATTCAGAGATTAATTAAAATGATTGGTGGGATGAGTAGGTGAGGGGGACAGGCTAAAGGGCTTGACAAGAAGAAAGATGAAAAGGACTAAATGCGTATAGCTTGGTTATGCGATGACTAATTGAGGGTGGAGGAGATGGACATGATATTCGTTTACAAGTGCCTGTAGTTCTGAGAAGCATTTTTCATGTGCAAACTGAAGACTAGCTCAAGACTAGCTTTCCATCTCCTAGTACAGATCTGGTTCCAAGGTCCTTCACTACAGGCTGTGAGTCCCACTGTTCTGCAGCCCATGCATTCCCCCCTCTCCCTTGTATCCTCAAATCTGGGGGGGGGGTGGTAATTTATTTCAGCTCCGCTTTCAGACAGATCGAGTTCCTGGATCTCTACCTAGCCACAAGCCCTGCTGGGAGCAAAGAGCAAAAGGAGAGGCCATGGGAGCTGGGGGTGGATGAGGTGGCACCACTTTGCCACACCTCTGCTGTGCTGCAGACTTAGGTGGACTTGAACCGACTGCGAAAACACACCTTGAGGAACCGGGGAAGAATTAGGAGCAGGAGCACCTATGAATTATTTTACTTCCACTTAGCCTAAGGAAATTCTGTTCTTTGTGCCCTCTCACTCCCAGCTGTTTTTACTATGCTCTGATGTAGTAAATAAAAGAAAAATACTTGCTCCTTATGACTTTTCAAACTCTTGTCTCCATCAGTTGGGGAAACCCGCTCTATAGTAATTCCTTAAGCAAGTGAAGAGCAGTATGAGAAGATCCAGTAATTCACTTCATGGAAAGGTGAAGCAGGATATCACATTTGAAAGCACAAAATTAGTAAAAATTTTAAAAGTCTATATAATAAAAATAATTGTCTATATAATAAAATATTGTGGAAATATCACTGTTGATGGCAAAAAGCTAGATGGTGTAATACATCTCAGTTTAAAGAAAAAGGACTGTATGGAAACAAGCATTTTCTTTCTGTGAGCAATGTTTCCAATATAGAGCAGAAACTGTCAATTACCCTTTTTCTTTTCTTTTCTTTTCTTTTTTTTTTTTTTCACATGGTCTAGAAATAAGCCAGAAGCATTTGTGATATAGGAGTGAAACAGAACAACAAACTCTTTTATTCCTGGACACCAAATATAATTTAGACGGATGTGGTATGTATAAGAAATTTTAATTTGTCCCTTAAAAGCCATTTAATTATTCAGATTATCTGATTGCCTCAGTCAATCTTGTATTGATTGATTAGAGAACTTTATAAATCAAAATCTGCATTACTGCTGCTTGAAGCATCTGCCCCTCTCAGCAACAGAGATACAGAGTTCATTTCCAATCCCTACCCACAAGTTAGTTTATTGAGACATGTAAATAGCTATGGTTTATAAATGGGTCGGTAAGTGTTCTTGCACTCTACTAAAGGCATATTTACTTAAGGACATCAGGAAAGGGAAAAAAAAAAAAAGCCTTAAAGTAATAGCTGTTTAATAAATCAGGGCACAGTCACCAAAATTCCCAGCTCCTTGGCTAATGGCCATGAAGAATCCCTGTCTCTCTATTGACAGGGCTCCCTTCTGACATGCAGCACTCGGCGAGTCTCAGGTGGTGAACTCGAGGCACTGTCGGATGAAACCTAAGATGAGACCTTCAAGAGCACCCGCTCTGCTCACCAGTCCGTCCTGAATTAGGTAGAAAATCCCCTCAGAGCAGCAAAGAGCATTTGTCTTTGATTTCAGAGCTCTCCTGCTATGCACAACCTTTCTGACCAGCTTGACTGTCTACTGCCAGCCTCGACCAAATAACCTCTAAGTGAGTAGCAATTAACATAATGAGTGGACTGACGGGTGTCCCCCATAGCTACAGGCCTCAGTAGAAACACGTCTCTGGCAAACTGGAATGTCTAGTCCTGAAACTCCACCTCTGTAAAAGGAAGGAAGTAGAAAACTAAAATGGGTGGAGGGTAAAAAAAAAAAAATATTAAAAAAAAAAAATTACATGACTCTAAATGAATCCCTCCAGTCTGATCCAACACTGGCTGAAGCTAATGAAAACTTGCCTTGATATCAGTGGAGCTGAACTGGACAGACTATAAAAGCACAGTTTTTCAGGTTATACAAATATGTATTAAATAGAGTGGTTAAAGCTACACTGACCATACTCCTTGTAGTCTGAACTTGGCTTTCTAGGATGAAACATGCAGAAAAAAACTAAGATAAAACAAAACAGCAAAACTCTAACAAATTAAATATGTCACCAATTAATCAGAACAAACTGAATTATTATTATTATGTGTATATACAGAAAACCAACCAAAGCAAATTATTTGCATGTCTTCCTATGTAACAGAAACAGGGAAAAGAAACACCTTTTATGCTTAATTTTAAAGTAATTCTTATTTCACAATAAAAACCTCCACACAGCAAACTACTTAAAATTCATGTCTTGCATTTCTCTCCAGAATTTCTTCCTTGCATAGACAAGCCCTTTCTAAACATCAAAAGTGCACGCTGACACAACAGAGACAGATCATTTATGGGCTGTCTCAGGGGAGTTTTAACGCAGCAAGGACCGCCACATCAGGTCCGACTAGATAGCCTGTCTCTGACAGGAGCCCAGCGCAGGTACCTGGGGGGGGGGCACACAAAACCAGGGCAGCACACAAGCAGTTTTGCCTCGGGATGCTCTCCCAGGCACAAGCCATTTGCAGCTTTGGGATTTCCGGAGCCAGAGATGCACTCACTGCGTTCGATAGCCCTTAAGTGATTTCTCTTCTGTGAATTCATCTAATCACTTTAAAATCCCTCAGTCCACACAGAACTCTTGCCAAGGAGTTCCACAGTTTAACTACAATTCTGTGAAGGCATTTCTCTGGTTGATTCTGAACCTGCCAGTTTCATTTGATGCCCCTTGGCTCTTGTGCCAGAAGAGTCAGTCACTGGCCTCTATTTATCTTGTATGTAAAGATTAAAAGGAGTTAACTGCTTGTAGCATTCCCTGCGTCAATGAATTTCAGAGATTTTTATGCAGTAACTTACTGCTGTTTGATTAAACTGCAGCTGAAGCTACAGCAGCAGTTGAGTAGTTTGAGTGACCTGCACCACAGACAGATGCTGCCTACATGAAGGTTGCGTGTACGCCAACAGCACACGACGAGCCCTCCTGTTCCCGGCCAAAACTCTGTATTTCATGCCACAGACTGCTCACACAAACGTATAAAGAAGTGCATGTATTACTGGCGTAATTCCGGTTAGCACAGAGCAACACCAGTGCCCACCGTGTGGTCAAATGAACGTAGTGGCTGAAGTCAGGTGGGAACGCAGGGAGAAAACAGAGAAGGAAAAAAAAAAATCAACAACTTCAAAGAGGGGAGCTAGACCTTCACTTTTCTTTCACAGCTGCTTGTGTTGCTGTTTGCTTCGTTGTTGCTTCCTATATTGTAACTGGTAATTATGTCATTATGTCTAGGAAAAAATAGCACCGGAGAATTTGAAAGTGTATTTTCAAACCTAGACATCAGTTCGTCAGCTTCACATATCGTAAAAAGGGATTGAACCTGACAGACCAAGTTCTTCACTGACATATAAAGATGGACCACCCTCCAAGGGCAGGTAACAGCTTTGTGTTGCCAGCGTTAAGGAGCACTTGTTGCACTTGTTGGCAACGCGATACAACAGTGCACCCCTCCAGTCCCTGTCCTAGCCCTTATTATCACCACTTGTCCTTAAATAGCTCCTGCACTTTATTCCAGAGGTATCTGCCCACTTCCCAGAGAGATGGGTGCGAGCTGGGTAAGAGGAGCAGGGGAAGGTTACAAAGATGAGCCGGGCAGGCGGGCATACCCTTTTATTAGAGGTAGGCACCCCACGTTCATCACGGGGCAGCTGGGGTGAACTAGAGATCCCCCGTCTGTTGCTCCGAGGTGAACATGCAGGCACAGCCTTCGCTCCTCAGCTTGGATCCTTCGACTCCAGCCTTTCCCCTCCCTCCCGACTAACCTGTACTTCCACAGCAATACCAGGGCACTCTTGCTAAAATTAGGCCGTCGCTGTCCCCTCCCCTTGGTAGGACGAGTTTAGAGAAACCCATCCGGAACCCGGCTTTTTCCTGTCAGGTTTTATTTCCCCCCATCTCTTGTCCTGGCGCACGTTGAGTCCGGGAACCGACATCCCCGATCACGGTAACGGCCAAGCCGTGCCCTTGCGAACGCAGCGACCAGGCGGTACCGGAGGAAAGCCGAATCACCCGGGGGTGCGGGGGGTGGCGGCCCACAGGGCCCCGGGG